CTAGTGACCCTGTACAGGGTTTCTGAGGCTGTAAATCTTTACGGGAGCAGAAAGCCTCATCTTTCTCTTGCGAAACAGCTGGTAGTTTCGAACTGCTGACCTTGAGGTTCGTAGCCCGACTCGTAACCACTACACTACCAGAGAGTAAGGATACTTTTTGAGGCACCCTGGTATTTGATAACATTTCAATGGTCAAAGTTCCCTATGATTTGATCAATGGAATTTTCTTCAAGGTGACTCTGCTGTTCTTTTGATATGTTCTTAATAGATTTTGATAATGTCCCTACTTCAGTGTGGTAGAATTAGCTGCTCACATTTTCTTTCATTGAATTAGTTATTTCTCTAAGGAGCCTTTAGTGAAAAATGGTAATTAGTGGACACAGTATAGGCGTTAGGGATCCTTGTTGCCTCTGGGTTGTTATTAACTCTATGAGTTTTCATTGAGTAGAGCTTGAAGGTAAGTGGTTTTTAGAAGAAAATTAAGTCAGGGATTCTGTTGATATATTATATCAACCTGAGATGGCATGGTTTATGTTTAAAATTTAATGCTTGTATCTAGGTATTCTTATCCTGAAAATCTTGGCAACTAGTGACACTAAAGTATTCTTTTCCTTTAATGCACAGTATGTATATAGTAATATTGTTGGTACTGTTATGTTGAAGCTAAGAATAAATTAAAGATTTCTTTGCAGTCTTTTTTTTACCCCCTTTAGACTATATGTTGTTAAGTGCCATCAAGTCGGTTCCGACCCATAGCGACCCTGTACAGGGTTTCCGAGGGTGTAAATCTTTACGGGAGCAGAAAGCCTCATCTTTCTTCCGCGGAGCGGCTGGTAGTTTCGAACTGCTGACCTTAGACTATATAGCAGTAGGTATATACAGTCATTGTACTTTATTTTTAAATTGCTAGAAAGAATTTGTTTCTCTGGATGGCTGTGCCACAAGCCAGACACACTGTTGTGGTTGTTACATGGCATTGAGTCGGTTCCAACTCTTAAAGACTGTGTATATGGTTTCTGAGTAGTGGCTGGTGGATTTGAACCACCAGCCTTGTGGTTAGCAGTCTAGTGCTTATCTTACAGCCGATACCAAGACTCCAGACATACTATTAGGTTTACTTTAATTTCTGTAGTAATGTCTGTGAGACCACTCTCCCCTGAAGATATGGTAGAAGTTACTTGTAAAGCCATCTCTGCCTATTGCTTTTATGTTTTGGTAATTTTTTACTTTTCTTTGAAAAGGATATGCTGGTTTCAGATGTGTTCCTATTGGATGATATTTAGTGATAATTATTTTATTTCAGTATACATAGAAAAATTGGATCTTGTTTTCGTCTATCAAAGTAAATAATTATTGGGTACTCTTCCTCTTTTTTCTTGGATCATCAGTTTTAGTCCTTATTTTATAAGGTCACGGTGTGGCACTGTGGGTTAATGCGCTAGTTTGTAAAGTTGGTTTGAACCCCAAGGTAGGTGGTTCAATCTCACCGGCCACTTCTCAAAAACCCTATACAGGGTCTCTATGGGTCGGAATCGACTTGACGGCACTTAACAATAACAACAACCATAATATATAATGGACGTGATAATGTGTTACTTTAGTGTCACGTGATTCTAAAATTTAGAGCATCTGGTTTGATTACTTAGTGTATTTCATGTAAAAGTGCTAGAATTTTAAAATGTGTTTTAATTGACCGTTTATGCTAGTACTTAAAGTAAATGCCATTATGCTATTACTACTTAAAGATAGCCATTTTAATATTAATGATAAATATTGAACAGGGTTCACCCTCCCAGATGTAATAAGTGCATGTACTTTGTGAAATGCACTTACTACTTTTTCAGTACTTCAGTCTGTATTCTCTTGTCCTCACCTCTTCCACAGTGAAGACTCACTCCCAGGGAGTCACTAAGACTCTGTGTCTAAGTAGGAACAGTAAATCCATCAAGCAAGAACTCTATATACAGTGTTGTAGAGCATGCTATAATTATTGTCGTCAGTAGTCTTTAACACTAACTTTATGAAGTTAAGAGTTTATGTTTTTTAAGAGCAAAATTGAAAGGCAATACCAAATCATATAGATCAATATTTTCACCAGTTATCGTAGCTAATATTCCTTCCCTTTTTTTGCAGGTCAGTTTTTTTGTGGAAATAAGTGTTGTGATGTAAAAGAAGGCCTGAAGAGTTGGGAAGTTAATTTTGCTTATACGGAGCATGGTGAAAAGAGAAATGCACTTGTTAAATTAAGTAAGTTGACATTAAGTGGGATATGATTGATTTCCCCTAAGCTTAACTTGTCATTTCGTATTTAAAATATACAGACTATTATATTTTAATTCAAAATTTTAAGGTGTCTTCCTTGAAGTTGCTCTTTTTCTCAGAGCTTCAAAAAATCTCAAGAATTTTTTAGTTTAAAATTTTTTTATTCTTAGCATTATAGTGACATTTCATTGAAAGAATTTTAATGCCAAGTATAAACTGGTGATTTGTAAGTATCTCTTCCCACTCTTCCCATTAATTTAAGAATATCAAATTACGTGGTTCGGATACAGAATATCAAGAGAGGTCATATGAAAATGTCAGAGTAGTGGATTTTTAGCCACATTGTTGTAGTCTAAAGAGTAAGTAAATGCAGTGTCTTTGACAGTGTCCATAAAGAAACCATTTAGGAGGGCATAACTGTTCTTATTACTGCCTTAAATATTTAGGGATATTTCCCAGAATATGGTAGTTTCCCTTAATACATATAGCAGCGTCTGTCAGGTTCTTTTTTTTTGTTGTTATTATAATTTGTTTTTAAGTAGTCTTGACATAGCTAAGGAGTCCTGGTGGCTCTGTAGAGTAAACACTGGGGTAGTGATCTCAATATTGGCAGTTCAAACCCACCAGCTGCTCTGCAGAAGAAAGATGTGGCTTTCTCTTCCTGTAAAGATTTATTGCCTTTGAAACCCTGTACACGGGGTCATTGTGAGTCAGCATTGATTCCTCAGCAGTGGAACTTAGTAGTCATCTGCTCCTTCCTGTTAATCATGTTAATGCTAACTGTTTTTGGTCCTACATAAATGCACCCTCAGGGTTTTCTGCTTACTCTAGTTGTAAGTCAAGAACTTCCCTACATGCAGCTTAACCATGGCAGTACATCTGGTTTCTTGTTGCTCCTGGAAATGTTCATGAGGAAAATTCAGTCAGTGTAAACTAAGATTAAGATGCAAGAAAAGATCAGAATTGTGGGCCTGTTTGAAAAGCTCTTTTCCATTGGAGAGCTCCATAGGGTACTTCAGAGGAAATGACTCTGCCCACTTTATTGTTGTGAGGTATCTTTGACATGAAGCACACATTAACACTGACTATTGAGCAGGGGGTTTTAGCATTGACAGCACACTTCTAATATAATATCACAATCTTTTCAGTTCTTTAAGCATTCTAATCATTGTTTTTATTATATTTGCAAATGTACTTTTTGAGGCAGAGAGATCAGATTGATTTCTTTAGATCATTTGCTGACTCTCATAGTAAAAGAATGTATGGAAAAAGAGACTGTCATAAGAGTAGCAGTGTATTCAAATTCAGCAATTCACAGTGGTGTCTTTTTTTTTTTTTTAGGGTTATGCCAAGACTGTTCCTTTAAATTAAATTTTCATCACAGGTAATATTGTCTCTTATGATGTCATTCTTGATGTTAAGTAGTCTTGGATAGAGCTGTTTACTTGCATTGGTGTCTACATGTAATCTTCGGTGGTTGCTAGTTGGTTTGGTTGTAGAGAGTAATCAAGCATTCCTGTAGGATCAGGATGGATACAGGGGGACTGGCAGTTCACTGTACAGTTTCAAATGTGAAGGTCTGTGCAGGCTCATGCATGGGTAGTAGGATTTTTTGTTTATAGTCAGTGTTCAGATAGGAGGATATGGAGTTTTAAACTTTTTGTTGTGAACTGAGTGAAGTTTATAGAGCAGGTCAGGTTTTCCAGTTTCCAATTCATACACATTTTGTGTCATCTCACTGATTGCAGTCCCCACATGGTAACACCACTTATCCCAGCTCTTTCCCGTGTTTCCAGTTTTCATTCCTTTGTCTTTTCTAACTCTTTGGGACTTTCCCCTTGTGTAAATGCTGCCCTTAGGATAATCAATCCTAAGATGTGTGAACCTCCCCTATTATTACTGTTCCCATTAAAGGCCTGTCTAAGGTGCACTGGTGGCACTGTAGGATAAGCACTGGACTGCTAACCATAGGGTCAGCAGTTCACACCCACCAGCTGCTCTGCAGGAGAAAGTTAAGACTTTCTGCTCCCATACAAATTTAATCTCAGAAATTCATGTAGGGTTGAAGTGGATTTGGTTTTTGGCTGTAGACTTGTGTGTTGTTTGATTGTGAATTGAGCCCTGGTGGGGAGATAGATCATTTCCCAACATGAAAGCCAAGTCCTCGAGGGTCCTTTCAGCCTCATTCCCCCCAGTAAGCCTGCTCTTTTTTTTGTTGTTGTTTAATGATTTTGAGTTTTGTATTACATTTTCTCCTACTCTATCCTGGACCTTTTGATGTGATCCCTTTCAGAGCAGCTGGGACATGAGGATATTCTTAGATGTTACATTATAAACCAGATCTTCATAAAGTAGTTCTTCTGTCTCATTTAAACCGGTTCACCTGTGGTTTATTGTTCTTACAAAGCATTATATATGTGAATCCGAATCTACCTGAGGGTGTGGGGGTTGACGAGGTTTAACATTCCAGATGTTAAAATCAGCCTTCTAGTGAAGTGAGTCTGAATGTATCTGCCATATTGAGTGTGTGGGTGCCATTGCCCTGCAGTTGCCATATACGGTGATAAGATCATGGCTTTTGAAATCACATAGACTTGAGTATTACTCTGAGTTGCTCCTGATGTGGCACTGTAGGATCAGCACTACACTTTGAACCACAAGTTTGGCAGTTCAAACCTACCACCTGCTCCTTGGAAATGCTTTACAGTGTTGCTTTGCTATGAGTCAGAATAGCCTCAACACTAAACACAAATAACACCCCTCTACTGATGACACTTCTTGGGCTGCTGCTTAACTGTCTATGACTCAGTGTTATCTCTAAAAAGGATACTAGAGGATTAAGTGAAAGTACATGTGAAGTAGTTTACACAGTGCCTTGTTGTTGTTGTTAAGTGACATCAAGTCGGTTCCAACTCACAGTGACCCTGTGTAGGGTTTCCAAGGAGTGACTGGTGGGTTTAAGCCACTGACCTTGAGGCTAGCAGTCCAGTGCTTAACCTCTAGCACCAAACAAGGACTCCTACACAGTGCCTGACACGTGGGAAATAAAAAGGAATCAATTTTCCAGCATTAAAGATGTTTAGACAAAGTCTCTGTGACCTGCCATGGTTGTAGTGGTCATATCCTGAATAACAGTTGAAAGGTTACATATCCTGAATAACAGTTGAAAGCCTAGTAGTGGAATTCCGTGACTTTATAAAATGTATTTATAAGCATATGAATTTAATAGTTGACTTTATTATGAAAGTGCCCTACCTAGTAATGTTACTGTTCTTAAGTGCAATTGAGTCGGTTCTGACTCTTAACAAGGATTTCCAAGGAGCAACTGGTGGTTTTGAACTCCTAACATTGGGCTTCAAACTGACCTTGCAGTCCAGTGCATTATCCTCCAGCACCACACCAGGACTCCACCTAGTAATATAGCTTTTAAATATTAAGTAATTAATAACTTTTAATTCTTAAAATTATGGAGCTCTGGTAGCGTAGTGGTTACGAATCGGGCTGTGAACCTTAAGATCAGCCGTTCGAAACTACCAGCCGCTACGCGGGAGAAAATGAGGCTTTCTACTCCCATAAGGATTTACACCCTCGGAAACCCTGTACAGGGTCGCTATGGGTCCGAACCGACTCAACAGCACTTAACAACAACAACAACAATTTTTAAAATTAGCAGGACATTTTAGATTACTTGAATAACCCAAACCTTTATTTCGTCTATCAGTGACATGTTTTGGATCTTTTTGAAATCAGACATTTTTGGACCATGATTTTTTAGCTTTATTTCAAAATTGAAATAATTGTTATGGAAGAGGCAAATGGTTGTATTGTAGCATCTGTCACTAAATTCTTACAGTGTAGAATATATGATAAACAAGTTTCTTAAAAGTAATTCTCTTAATTAATACACCAACCTAAAATATTTAGAGATTCCTTTAGAGTTTATTATGTAAATTACATTTTAAGACAAGTACTTTTACTGATTTTATTTTTTACTTTTTTGAAAAGGTCAGTTGAGAAAGTTAATTTTTGTTTTATATTGTTTGCCTAAAGGAAAAAAGAAGTCAAGCTGAAAAACAAAAAAAAGAGTGAAACCAAAAAAGATTGTGCAGCGTCGTCCCATAAAAAACCCAGAGTATCTTCTGAAGAAGAAACCTCTGAAAAAAAGGATAAAGGTAAACAGAAGTTAGGATGTATTATCTGCTCATCTTTATGAACATTAAATATAATCTGAGCTGTGTTTCAAATGTACAGTATCATTGGTGAATGTATTTAAATTTTTGTCTTGTAATAGTTGAAACTGGTTGGAAATTTAGATTTGAATATGCAGTTGACTTATAGGAACTGCATGGAGTCCCTAGTCATAATCTACTTGACAGCAATTAGTAACCTAACAGGAGCTTTAAGAACCAGGTTGGCTTTGATTCATTTTGGGCGTGAGATGTAAATAGGATTCTAATTCCTGGCTTTGTCATAGATTTGTGACCTTGGGCAAGTCATTAAACTTGAATTGTATTTTGTACGTGTATGTAGGTGTCTCCATACGCCTAATGCTTACTTAGAAGAGTCAGACAAAAACGTGAAACGCACTCTGAACACTGTAAAACAGTGCATCCTTATCCTTATAAATCAGTATGAAATTGTAACACTGATTTCAGTTATAATGACTTTCATACTAGCATTTGAACTTCTTGAAATGATATACAAACAGGCTTCAAAATTTTTCATAGAAAAATGGAATTAAAAGATAATGGAATTTTTCCACAACTTTTTTGAAGCCCCCTCGTATGTCTGTGTCCTCAGAACATAGCATAGTGCTGTGCATGTACTTAGTAAATTATTAGTCAATTAAAATCCATTAGTCAAACACTTACTTCTTCCTCAGTAGTCCTTAAGCTCTTAAGCCTTGATTTCTTCATATGTAAGAAAAGTGTCCTATTTCAGTCTTGTTTACAAGTTAATGTAAGATTGTGCTTGTAGCATTTTGCATATTGCATGGCACATAGTTATATTGAAGGTTATTTCAAGTTGCTTTTTTAGCCCGTAATAAATTTTAGCATTATTACCTTTCTTATTTTTTGTAAAAAAAAAAATTTCTTGGGGCAGGGTGACTTCTGATCTCCTATTTCACTAGAACCTTATAACTTAACTAGGCATAAACAGACCAGTCAGACTTAAAATAAGTAGAGAATACAAGATTGAATTGGACTAAGGCCACTGTTAATATAAACTTGGACAAGAGAGGGCTCCCTTGCTCCAGCTATGAAGATAATTAGATATATTTTTATATACAATTTTCTTCTTGCTTACGATATATACTATGTTCCTTATGTAGTCAATATTAAAATATTCCAGCATATATGAATAATATCACGCAAGTTTTAGCTTTGTAAAGTTGATAGATTGGGTTAGATATTGTTTTCTGTATATTGAAAAAGTATTTGAAGCAGAATGTCGTTTAGTTTCAACTTGAACCAGTTCACAACTCTAAAACTAATTTTAGTTAATAAATCTGAAAATCTCATTTGATTTTTAAGTTTTTGTTCATCCTTATGTGCTAGTAAAATATTTAAGATGTGCCTCAGAATTTTGTTTAGTTACTATATCATTTTCATGTCATATGAGGAGGCATCCAGAAAGTTTGTGAAAAATTCTATTATCTTTTAATTTCTTTTTCCTTTTCCAACCAACCCCTCTACTAGTATGTATTACTGCATATTTCATATTTATCCATATAAAAGTTTACTCAGTACCTTTAAAACAGAGGATCAAGTAACTGGATATTTAGGATCAGGTGTGATGTTGGGCTCTTCAGAGTACATATACGTGGGCATGTCGTTTCACTTATTTATTCTCTACTCAGAGAATCTTTGAGAACCGAGAATCCTGGAGATAATTCTTTTATTTAGCTTCTAAGACGTAAAGCAGAAATTTAACAAACTGCTAGGGAAACTAGGAACTATAATGTCTTCTTACCTGGGGTCACCTGGAACTAGGTTGATCTTGATATAAGTCCTTCTTGTCAGACCATTTTAATTTGATCCAAATATGATAATTAACAAATGTTCGTTAAAAAATATATATTTGGCATGGGGGAGGGGGGCAACTTCTGACCTGTGATTTTACCAGCAGGAAGAAGAGTCAAACTCAGCATCAACCCAGGGTTCAACCAGTGCAGTTGAAATCAGACATTCTTCAAGCCTTCTACCTTCTCTACCAAATCTGACACCTGTCATAACCTCCCACAGCACTCTACTCAGCTGGGTGGGATCATTCATTACAATGGCCGTACAGAACTCAGACACCATTCTCAGTTATGTAGTTTTCAGGGAAGTTCCTCCAGCAGAGACAGCCTCTTCCCAGCCATGTCTATAAACTGCTTCTCTCTGGACCTTGGCCAAGCCTGGTCTCTCCCTGCTTGAGCAGTGTTTGGAAACTCTTTTAGGGTTGCTGATAAATGCCCTAAAGCACTGCACCCTGCTATAAGGCTCAGTCTGAAGGCATTCAGCTCTAGTTCTATGTATTAGCCAACCTAGCTCTCCCAGTGAAGTGCCTTGGAGGCACCCCACTCCACAAGCCAGTTTCCTGCTTGATGGCCCTCAGCGTTACATGTTCCATGGACTGGGAAGCCCATAGCTCTGTCTTGTTCTCTGGCTCTCGGTTCTGCTGCTGCTGCTCCGCTACAGTCCTCTGGTATCACAGCTTTCTGTTGTAGATCAGGGAAGTTCAGTGCACAGGGATCTCCGAGTCCAAAACACTCCACTCCTGGCTTTTCTTTCTTGATGGTAGTAAGATCCCCTGGCCCCTTCCTGCTTCGGAGATAGCTCATTTTAAACCTAGCAGAATGGTAAATGTGACCATTCCCCTAGTTAGATTTTTCAAGTTATTAAAAAACATAATTAGCTTTGTTAACAATCATTTACAGCTGAATCATATCATCTTATCAGCATCTTCTCCCACAGTCTCTTACCCAGATCCAGCAGGAAAAAAAAAAAGTTTTTTGGTGGGTGTTACAAAGACTATGGATAGAAGAGCCATATGAAGTAATTCACTGTACTGTCGTGCTTAATAGATCAACACATTTGAATGGTTGGCCAGTTCTCCTCATAATACTCTCTGCTTTCCTGTTTTCTTCCTATCTCTCTGGCCTCTTTTGACTTCAGTTCATCCTCAGTCTGATCCTTAGATATTGGAGTTCCTCAGGACACTTACCTAGAACTTCTCTTCAGTTTACTATCATTTTTTTTTTTTTTTAATCAGATAAATTAATGGATAGATGGATGGGCAAATGGATTGCTAAGTGACTAGCTGACATGGACCCATTTGCTTTGAGATGCATGGTGGTGGTGGTAGTGTACTGTGGAGTCGGTTCCGACTCACAGCAACCTTGCATAGGGTTTCTGAGGCTGTAAATATTTACGGGAGCAGAACGCGTCATCTTTCTCCCATGGAACGACTGGTAGTTTCGAACTGTTGACCTTGAGGTTAGCAGCCTGACTTGTATAGTTAAGTAGATTGTCTTAGAAAGTTCAAAGTCATACATCTTTCACTACTGCCTTTCCCAAAGGTCACCTCATCCTTCAGGCTTCAGCGTAAGTCAGTTTCTTGGGAAGACTCTCCCTGACTGCTTTTGTCCCATTTCAGACAAGGGATGGTCTCAATTACACATTTCTGTAGCACCTTGTACCATTCTCTTTTCTCCAATTCCTTCTAGAGTGCATGCTCTACCTCGTAGGCATTCAGTTATGTCGGGTAAGTTAGTGGATCAGTGAATTCAACCGCAGTTTCTCAAAGGTGCATTGATTGTCAGAGACCATCTCTGGAATCATGACTCAAAAGATACACTACAGGCCTCCCAGAGTACACCTAACATCATTTTGACCTATTTACCTTTGGATATTTTGGAAACAGTTATCATGTTCCCCATAAAAAAAGGGTGGCAGAAAAAAGTACATTTCTTCTGTTGCCACCTGAAGATAAGCTATTTTTTTAATTTATTCTCTGACCATTTAGCATCTGATCATTGTTGTTAAGTGCCATGGAATTAGTTCCGACTCATAGCAACCCTATATAGCTAGTAGGGATAGGGAACGCCTGGTGTACGGGCTGTGTAAGGCCAGTGAGATAAATCATTTGGTCTGGCCCTGCCAAGACAACTGCAGTTCCAGCCATCATATTAGGGGTGAGTTAATTAAATGACTGAGCAAATATAGCAGGTCAACTTATATTTAAGTTGATAATTTTGTATGGCCTGTGAATGATATTGTAAATTTTGGCAGAAAAAAGATCGTCCCACCCCCACCCCTGGGCTGTATAGGGTTTCCAGGGAGTGGCTGGTGGGTTTGAACCACCAACCTTGTGGGTAGCAGGCTGATGTTTATCCTGCAATACTACGTCAGAGCATTTGCTGCTGTCCAAGTCTTGGCTGTCATACAGGCTTTTCTCTAGTTCTCATACCCTCTTCAACAAAAGCAATTGCTGTTGATTTCAAGTCAGTTTTTGATTGATGATCCTGTGTGTGTGTCACAGTAGATTTTGGCACCTTATGGTTTTCAGTGGCTGATTTTTCAGAAGTAGATCACTAGGCCTTTCTTCTAAGGTGTACCGGGTAAACGCAAACCTTCTAGCGTTTAGTTATCTGCCTAGCAATTGAGTTGACAACAGTGCAAACAGGGACTCTCACTCTTAAGGAGGCTTTTCATGATCAAACCTTGGCTTACTAGACTTCTTACCCAGGAAGGGGGGGGAATTGTTCTTTTGTTTTGTTTCAACAACCTTCAGAACATTTTTCCTTGAGGTCTTATTGCAGGAGGCTCTGCACAGTTATAATAATTTTTTTTAATCCGTTAGATCTCCAGTGCTTTTCTCTTTATGTTTTTCTTGCTGATAACCATTGTAAATCTAAAAGGGTTTTTTAAAATAACATAATTGTGTATCTGGTTATCTGGTTACTAAGAATTAATTCTCACCTGTATAATATTGGAGTGCTATGAAAACCCTTATTCGTAAACTATATTCACGTGTAAATAACTTCATAGATAAGATAGTGTTGGTACTACTGTTTCAATTTGTACACACGGGTTTATTCCAGACAAAACATATTTAAGCATGTGTCTGCGACCAGTAGATGGTCTTAGTCTCATTAGGCTTCTGAGGGGATGTACTAACCAGTTAACTTCTAGGTCGAGAGGTCAGCTCAGAGTATTATGATGGTTATTTTTGGGGATGCCCAATCTTAGTAGAATTTTCAAAGTACACAGGACAGTCATGGGGGCTTACTAAGAAAAAGTTTTAAGAAAATTGAAAACTGCTTTAGTGAGAAAAAGGCCAGGAAAGTTGCACCAAGAAACTTTTTTCCACTATGGCAATGTATCTACTCATTCTTTGAGAATTTTGTTGGGAAACTTTACCCCATCTACCTACAGCCATGGTCTTACTCTGCAGGCTTCTTTTTGCTCCCCAAACTCAAAGAATATTGAAAAGAAACACAATCTGAATCCCTCAAGAATGCCAGAACTGTCCTGTTGATGTGGTCAGTTGAAGAGCACAGAATTCTTTGGGAAGGGTTACTGTTGTTTGGTGACATCAAGTCAGTTCTGACTCGTAGTGCCCCTGTGCACAATAGAACGAAATATTGTCCGGTTCTGCGCTATCCCCACAATTGTTGTTGCACTTCAGCCCCTTGCTGCTGCCACTGTGCCGATCCGTCTCATTGTGGGTCTTTACCAAGCATGATGTCCTTCTCTAGGGACTGATCCCTCTTGATAACCTGTACAAAGTAGGAAAGATGAAGTCTTACCATCCTGCATTTTAAGGAACATTCTATCCTGTCTGTACTTCTTCCAAGACAGATTTGTTTATTCTTCTGGCAGGTCATGGTACTTTCAGCATTCTAACACCATAACTCAAATGCATCAATTTTTCTAGTCTTCCTTATTCACTGTTCAACTTTCACATACATAACGGTGGTGGTTATGTGCCTGTGGAGTTGTTCTGACTCATAACGACCCTGTACAGGGTTTCCAAGCCTGTAAATCTTTACGGGAGCTGAAAGCCTCATCTTTCTCCCGCGGAGTAGCTGGTAGTTTCAAACTGCTGACCTTGTGGTTCGCAGACAGTTTCGTAACCACTACCCTGCCAGAGCTCCTTTCACATGCATATGAGACTATTGAAAATACCATGGCTTGGGGTTAAGCACACTTCAGTCCTCAAACTGATCATCTTTGCAGCAGATTTGCCTAATGCAGCACGTATTTTTATTTCTTGACTGCTGCTTCCATGAGTGTTGATAGTGGATCCAAGCAAAATGAAATCTTGGACAGCTTCAGAATTTTCACCATTTATCATGATGCTCCGGTGGTGAAGATTTTTGTTTTCTTTACATTGAGGTAAAACTGAAGACTGTGGCCTTTGATCTTCATTATTAAGTTTTTTTATGCCCTCTTTGTCTCCAGCAAGCAAGGTTATATCATCTGCATATGTCAAGTTGTTAATGAGTCTTCCTCCAATCCTGGTGCCACTTCCTTCTTCATACATTCCAGTTTCTTGGATTATTTGTTCATCTTACAGATTGAATAAGTATGGTCAAAGAATGCAACCCTGGCACATACTTGCCTGATTCTATATCCCCTTGTTCTGTTCTAACATTTGCCTCTTGGTCTATGTACTGACGCCTCATGAGCACAATGAAGTATTAAGGAATATCCATTCTTTGTAATGTTATCCATAGTCTGTCATCCACACAAGGTTAGAGAGATGGAAACACTGCCTTCAGAAGTGTAGAGACTTACATGGTCTATACATGTCTATAGATATGTCAAGAAACAGCTTTATATTTTGGTGTTTTTGTTTAATGAAGATTTCTATGATTTTGTAGGAATCTTTTTTACTTACTATCCTATTGTCCCTAATCTGTGAGGTTCTTTTTAGCAACAGGTGAATTTTTACAGGAACTTAGTATTTCTTAAGCTATGTACTAGATATTCCACGCCACACAAGAGAGTGTAAGATAATGATTCCTGCCTAAAAGAACCTAAGTTTGTAATTGGAAGGGCAACAAGACTTAGAAACATGATGTTGTTGTTGTTAAGTGCCGTCGAGTCAGTTTCATCTCATTGTGACCCTGTATAGGGTTTCTAAGAGTGGCTGGGGGGTAGGAACTACTGACCATGTGGTTCGCAGTCCAGTGCTTATCCTTTAACACCACACCAAGACTCCTAGATATATAATGTTGCTAAGTGCCGTTGAGTCAGTTCCATCTCATAGCGATCCTGTATAGGGTTTCTGAGGAGCGACTGGTGAGTTTGAACTGCCAACATTGCAGTTCAAATTGATCTTGTGGTCGAGCACTTATCCTATAGCAGCACCACACCAGGACTCTTAAGATAGATGAGAAAATTAGTACTTGTGTTATAAAATTATAGGCAAACAATGTTGGAGAAAAACTATAGCAACAATGGTTGTTTAACAGCAAGATGATTCTAAATAGTACTGTTTCCTTTCTAGGACATTCATCCTCCAAGAAGTCAGCAGACTCTATAAATAGTAAGTATTGCATTTTAATTTAATTAAAAAAATGTATAAGTTCAAGTTATTTGGAATTAGGTTTTCTAT